GTGAAAAGGGGTGCTTTTACATTACGCTAGTAGAATGAAATGACTGAGCCAGGAAACGTTTCATAGCAGCAAATATGTCAGATACAAGATGCAAGATAAATTTTAAAAATAAAAAATAAAAACTTAATGCGAGATCACGGCACCTAGGTCTGAGAATTCATAAACGAAAGAAACAGGTAATAATACAAATAGTAATGTGGTTTCTCTTAATTGCACCCCACTCTAAGACGTGGAGTCGTACACCTATTTGGTCAGCAATGAAGATAAAAGGGGGAACTGATAGAGATATTAAATTAAGAATAAGAAAGGCAAGAAGAGCTTTCAAAGCTGTGAAAATTTGTGAAAGTCAAAAAAAAAAAAAAAAAAAAAAAAAAAATTGAAAAGAAAAATTTAACTTAAAACTGTTAATTCTAATGTCAAATTAGTACTTTTGTATTGTGTAAAAACATCGAGAACAACTAAGGAAATTACTAATAAATTACAGACCTTAATTAACTGGTGCCTGCCCAGAATGGAGGGAATTAAATGTTATGATAGAATAACTAATGCAGATCTTTGGGAGAGAACTAAGCAAGCTCCAGTGAACCAAGAGGTGAGGAAAAGACACTGACGTTGGATAGGACACACATTGAGAAAACTGGAGAACAACATAACTAGCTAGGATGTCTTTGCATTGGAACCCACAGTTCCATAGGAATAAAGGAAGGCCAAAAACACATGGATAAGACTGCTGGAGAATGAAGTTAGAAAGATGGGGAGGACATGGAGAGAGCTGCATGCGATAGCAAAGGGTAGAACGACTTGGCGTGAGTTGATTGAGGGCCTACTCAAGAAAGGCAGAAGAAGGTATATGTAAAGAAATATCGTTTGTAATTAAAAATATTCACTGCATTTATGCATTAATTCTTTTCTGTTTAAATTGATGACTCTTAAACTGTTATTCGCCAATCTCTTGATTTTATTCCAATGTCCGTATCGATGTCAACCGTTTGCTCACTTGCATTCTACTTGTCTTCCCAGTATAGTTTATATGAGAGGGGTTATACAGTCCCCCCCCCCCCCCCCCCCGCCCATAATAATGCAGTTCTCGACGATTACCCGAGTTCGATGCTCGCGGTAAGCAATTTAGAAAACTCGTGGCCTTCAGACAGTGGTACGAGAGTCGCACCGATGAAACAGTTGGGACCTCTCCGTGTAATATTTCTATAGTTAGCAGAGGAGATAGTTCATTAGTAGTAGTACATTTTACCCCACTAGGATATCACACAAGCGATAAACACCCGATGATACAAAGTGCCACTATGTGGATGAGGATCAGGGGAAGAGGTCCAGAAAGGGGAAGAAATTTAGACCATACATTGGCGCGAGCAATTGCTGGCAGGAGCCAAGGTTTTTAAAAAACGAGAAATTTATCTCACAAGGGTTCTATAGAAGATACATTTCTTGACATATATCTTTTAATTGCGCGAAGCATCTCACATGTCTTTTTTTTCAAATTTTCTTAGCCAAAAAAAATTTGGTGTACAATCTAACTCTCCTCGCTCTTCTCGAATATCAGATCTAAAGTTCTGAATAGCCATCCAGGCCAGCCTTTTGATATTTTTTTTTTCACGGCCGAGTTGTCTGCCCAGTGAAGTAGGCTTGTATTTACAGAATTTGACAGTTGGCATTTCGAATGCACTATTTGCGTCTGACTAGTGTTGGCATTCACAGGTACTACGCTCCATCCTAGCTGCGAGATGTGTGGGAGGAGGAGTATTAGGAGGATCTCTAGCGTAGAAGAAGAAGACGGGAAAGAGGAAGAAACAAGAGAAAGAATCAGGGGGACGAGCCAGAGGTGGAAAGGAGGAGGTGAGCGGGAGCGGGTAAAGAGAAGAAGCAAGAAGAAAAGACCCGGGTTGTCGCCTCCCGGGGGTAGGGGGCCAGACTTTTTACCTAGTGGCCTTGAACAGGAAACTCGTTAGTGGGTCCAGTGGCCCCAAACACGAAGGGACTTAATCCTTGCAGCGAAGTTTTACGGTAATTTTTCAAAGCTGTCTTACCTCTGGAATCAAGGCCGAAAGGTTGCGGGATCGAAGATATCCATGAGACCACGAGCTCTAAGCAGGTTAACAACGAAAGGCTTAGTGGGCTTCTGGATACTCGCCAAAACAAAACAAAAAAAACGAAACAAACATACACCTCGGCATTCATCCAATGCACAGTTTGCGTCTGAGGCTTAGGTGTTGAGAACGCGCTTCATAATTCCTAGGTACTGCACTCCATCCAGCTGCGAGCAGTCTGGAGGAGGAGTAATAGGAGGAGAAAAGGAAGAAATAGAAGCATGAGAAAAAAGAAGAAATAGAAGAAAAAAGAGGACAGCAGGAGGAAGGAGCCAGAGGAGGAGAAGGGGAGAATGAGCAGAAAGAGGGGAGTAGGAAGAAGAAGAAGACGAAGAAGAAGAAGAAGAAAAGGCGATTACATTATATTGTCGTCCAGTATTGAGTTCGTCCAATCGCAGGGGTGCCAGACCTTTATTTACCTAGTGGCCTTAAAAGGAAAACCGTAAGTGGGTCAGTGGCCCACACACGAAGGGACTTAATCAGCGCAGCGAAGTTTGATGACATTGTGCTATTAATTTGTCAAAGCTGTCTACCTCAGAAATCGGTCACGGGAAAAAAAAAAGATTATTAAAATATATTGTGGGATCGAAGAATAATAAAACGATTGAACTACCGAAGCTGCTAAATGGGGACATTAAAGAAGCGTACCAGCATGGATACATCAATGAACAAGGCCACACAGACTTGAAAGAGGTTGACAGAACAAGACGTAACTGTACAAGGAAATGCTATGAAGGTCATGTGCCGTGGGCTACCGTCACCAGAACATCTGGTAAGTATGTACTGACAATTGTTAAATTGGTATACAAGTGGGGAAACAATTAGGGCTTTTAAACCTACATACTGAGAAGACATTCTAAATATACATTCTTAAAATACCATAGACTGTTCGAGTAAATGAAATGACATTCTACAATATTGGCGTCAGCTGACTCATAGAAGGTAAAGGACTCTTTGTGTGTCGCTAATGCATTCTGCATATGGAAAATTTTCATTGTGTAAAGGGGATTCAGTGGGCAAGAGTCTTATCTAGGTTCTCAATAATAATAGTGGCATGAAAAAACAAATAAATATTATAATATATTTGAAATAATATGTAATGTACAAACAATTACTTAAAATGAGAACTAAAGATGGTTGAGAGAGGCGGGGTGCCCCCCTCCCCCAATTAGGAGTCGGGGAGTTGGGAAAGGGGCTGGGTGTACTTATGTTTTCAGAAACGGTGTGGTCAGTACACGAAGAGCTTGGAAACTGATTCTAAAACAAAGGATGTTTGTCGGGTAGTCGATCAACAGTCTTAAGCCAAGCAAGAGGTAAACACGTCCCGCCAACGTTGCCCAGACGGGAAGACCAAAAGAGACCCTGCGAAGAACCATCAACAGGGAAGGCTCAACCATAGGCCGAATGAACATCTAAGACTTGGAACAGGTAGCAACGAACCGCCAGACATAGAGAGCTATGACCTCTGCCCTATGGGCTGCCCTAGGCTCAAGAGGGGAGACTAACTAACTTGTCAGTACGCGATCATTTTTAGCCAGATGCAACAGATACTCGCCAGTAAGAAGACGTCAACTGCAACGAGGAAAAGTGCGTTAAAGTGCTATTTAGAAACTGTGTTGTTAAGCGCAGAGGCGCAGCTGGCCGTACGGTTAAGAACGCTGAGCTCTCAAGTGGGAGACCCAGGTTCGATTTCCCAGTTCCCTGTGTGGGTCTGGGCCCCATTGTGGTCAAAAACAAGAAAAGACCCACTGCCTCCCCCAAAAAGCATGTCCTAAGAGTGGACTAATAATTGTGGGACTTCATTTTAAGTCGGAGTGCAACTGCCTGAAGGGGCAAGGAACCAGCAGTCTATATACGCAAAGAAGAAGAAGAAGAAGAAGAAGAAGAAGAAGAAGAAGAAGACGTGGATTTTTTTTCTGTCGATTACACCCCTCCCTCCTCCTCCAATTTCCTGACCGCGAAAGTGTGAAATGCAGGCAGTAGTAATTGACTGTAGCTTCATGTATGTGTGGCACGGACAATAAACATAGAAGCTGAAAAACATTTTCTCGCGGCGGAGTTCTCGTTGAGAAAGATGAAAAATGTAAACTGATAAGAAAAAAAGAAAAAAAAACCGTAGTCTGTGTTTTTCAGGCATGTTTTTAAAGGAAATAGAGAACTTGGTATTCACTGGCAAGACTGACTGAAAGAGAGCAAGAAGAAGGCAAAGAGTGATACATGGATGGTTTGGCCGTATGGATGGGGCAAGACAAGAACAATGATCTGATCCGTGATTCTGCAACTGTGTAAGATGGCGATGAATAACAGCCTCCGCTGATCAGAACATCACATGGTGAAGAGTACACTTCCTCTCATCTTTATCGGTAAGTCTCTCTCTCTCTCTCTCTCTCTCTCTCTCTCTCTCTCTCTCTCTCTCTCTCTCTTTCTCTTTAACTATCTATCTGTCTCACGCACAAACACACACACAGGTCAGTTTCTCTGGTCAATATTCTGCCACTGGCATAAGAAGCTTCCGAAAGAACAAGAATTGAGTAGACAAGAGGTATGTCACAATAAGCATACACAAACCATCAGGAATGAACGGCAGTTTTGCTACGGATAGAGAATAAAACTGCAGAAAATGACTGTAAGTAAATCCCTCCTTTCATGCACTGAAGCGCAAGAGGCATAATATGCTCGCCCTGTATTTTTTATAAACCAACGACATCAACGAATAATTCTGCAAACATCATGTTGGCAGTCACTTTCTGATTGGAATTTGCTATTAACGTTTTTTTTTTTTTTTTTTTCTAAGTGGATGGAGTAACGAGTCTGCCACTAGCCTTCCTAATTGCCGCTTTCGTCATGCAATTGAGACTACACTGTTACTATTCTTTTGATTACAAGACCAAATCCTACCTCATAATATGCAAGAGTACCTTCCTGGCGCGTATACCTGCCTCCGTCGCCACCGCCAGTCGAGGAAGCGTTGAGCCCGTTAACTCTTGCGTCGTCGAGGGTAAAACTCATACCGTATGTCGTCATTCCTGCCAATGAAGAAGCGACGTTATGCTATCACAGTCGACGCAGGTGCATAATGGGCATTCCCATGAATACTCAGTCCACTGATACAGAGACTGTTTCTTTGTGGAAATTGGTAATGATGCTTCCAATTTAGGCCTTATTTAGACAATAACGGAAATAACAATAACGGTAGTTCCAACAACACTAACAACATACTAACGTTCACGAAATGTACAGCGATCTTGCTGCAGTACTAACATGGCTTACAAGCCGTTGGAAACAATGAAAGGAAAAGGTAAGTAAAAAGAACAAACAATGCAGTACAAACCGCCTTGGAACAGGGAGCGCCAATCTTTCACTACTTCTGTGTCGACGTATTACTGCAAATCATCATATTTATACACATTCAGCTAGTTTTTAAAAAAAAATTTTTTTTTTTTATTTTATTGAAAAAAAAAGGAAAAAAGAAAGGAAACAGCTGTCGATTCTTGCCCCAAAGTGTCTAAAGAGGTGCAAGTACTCATCACATAGTGCCTTAAAAAAAGTTCCATTACTCATCACAAAGTGTCTCAAAAATGTTGCCAGTACTCACAACAAAGTGTTTATTACAGTAACGCTAAAAATAATGCATTAAAATGGTGCAGGTACAGCATACTGCTGCTTTAAAAAAACCGTGTGTTCAACATTAATGAAGCACAATAACTTCACCATGACATGAATTTGTTTGCTATATTTTGATTTTGTAGTGCGATAATTTATGTTACTTCAGGGTGCCATTGAAAATAATTTCACGTGTTTAACTGACAGCTGGTGGCATCAGTTGCCGATGCCTGCCTTAGAATCGCACTCAACAATCTCGATGCAGAAAGAAAAAGAACTAGTAGTTTAACGCCAAAAGTGCAAAGGCATATGATGTTCATCTCACTGTAATATACCAGTCGGCACTCGATGTGTATTGTGATCAAAATTATGCCGGCCGCCTTTACTTCTCAAGTATTTTTTTTACTTTACGTCCCAGTTTGGGACGCAATTTTTTTTTCAAATTAAAAATCATACCCCAGTTGTCGCCGGGGCCCTGAATATAACCTGCGAGTTGAACGGGGTGTCTGGGACCTGCACGCGGGGGATTTCCATCAGAATGGTGGCACTTTGTGTCACCAGGTGTTTATCGCTCGTAATGGAGGCCTGGCAGGGTTGAATGTCAGTTAGTCCCAGGTTTTGTCAGGTATTTTCTGGTACTCACTTGTTGCTTGCCCGTCCAGAAAGACAATGTCCATTTTCATTCCGAATCCGCCTGATGCCGTTTCGAACAAAAGACCTCTGAAACGACAGTCAAGCTTCTAACCTCCACACCACCAGGGCTCCCTAAATACTTAGTAAAGACTTACCCAGAATTATCTTTGATTTGGGGACACCAGCACTCAACCAGTAGTTCACAGCCCAAGTCTGTTGATGGATCAAAGATTGTTGGTGGTATAGTTTCATGACACCGAAAACAAAATGCTGTTATTGTCGTTGTCTAATTCTCATCTTCATCCTCCTCCCCACTTTCTTCTTTCTTTTTCTTCTTCTTATATAGGAAGAAGACGACAAATAGACGACACATTAATAGGAAGACAGACGACACATAGACGACACATGGATAGGAAGACAGGCGACAAATAGACGATATATGGATAGGAAGACAGACGACACTTAGACGACACATGGATAGAAAGACAGACGACACACAGACGACACATTAATAGGAAGACAGACGACACATTAATAGGAAGACAGACGACACATTAATAGGAAGACAGACGACACATAGACGACATATGGATAGGAAGACAGGCGACAAATAGACGATATATGGATAGGAAGACAGACGACACTTAGACGACACATGGATAGAAAGACAGACGACACACAGACGACACATTAATAGGAAGACAGACGACAAATAGACGATATATGGATAGAAAGACAGACGACACACAGACGACACATTAATAGGAAGACAGACGACAAATAGACGAGAAATGGATAGGAAAGCAGACGACACATAGACGACACATGGATAGGAAGACAGACGACACATAGACGACACCTGGATATGAAGATATATGGTACACGGGCAAACAGACGACACACGGATAGATAACCGAGAAGTAGACCTTTAGACAATACATGGATAGCACGACAGACGACACATAGACGACACCTGGATAGGAAGACAGATGATCCATAGACGACACCTGGATAGGAAGACATATTATACACAGGCAAAGAGACGACACAGGGATAGATAACCGAGAAGCAGACATTTAGACGACTCATGGATAGCACGACAGACAGATACACGACACACTGACAGATACACGACACACTGACAGATACACGACACACTGACAGATACACGAGACACTGTCAGATACACGACACATAGACAGACACACGACCTGCAGACAGACGGACCTGACAGAGTCTCTGACTGATGCCCTCATCAAATTTGCTGGGAAAGATTGTACTGTGGTGAGCTGTTTGATTATCCCAGCCCCCATGGAAGTTGTAGGTCATCAGCAACATGTAGTCCACATACCTGTGGAAGAAAACTGGAGGCTGATTGAAACGCAAAGGACGATCAGATAAAAGGATGATGATGGGGATGATGATTATGATGTTGACGGTGACAATGATGATAGTGACGATGACGATAAAGATGATGATGATGGTAATGATGTTGACGGTGAAGATGACGATGGTGATGATGAGGATGATGATGATGAGCGTCTCTGGATGTTTCCTAAAAATTTGATAGAGCTGGTGGCAATGAGAAAGCAGACTCGTTGGATTGTTCTCCCTATTTTAATGGATAACACCAAGTGTAGAACAGACAAGGGCGACAGAACCTAAAACCTTAATGATGATGAGCGTCCCTGTCCCACATCTCCGCCCTACCTCTAAATGTGTGAGCTAAGCGTCTCCCCAATTTGTGAGCTAAGCGCCGCCCCCTCCCCCAATAAACTACTCTACAAATATAGACTTTTCAAGAAGTCTTCATTACTCTTTTTCATGTATTATGTGTATTCATGTCATGCGTCTAAAAAAATGCATCTCCGTCGCTTCCAAAAAATTGTTCGACCAACCGTCCATGATTCACTACGGTATATCAGGATTTGATTTATATAGCTCTGGGAAATTGTAGTGGGACAGAAGCTGAATGAGACCGAGAGAGATGATGCTGGACAGTTTGACATCATGGCATCGAAAATGACCTGTGCCAGAACTGATTGGAAGTACAGGAGACAGGAGGTTGTGGACAGTCATGACTACCAATGCCACACGGCATGGGCTATACGAGAAAAAAGAAGAAGAAGAAGCAGAAGTTGCGCAGTACAGAATACATAACATAATGAATAACATTAAATAACATAAAGCTGCACGTTTATCTCTGTAGATTTGCAGACAGCACTGTTATATAATACATAACATGGTATTACATAACGCTACTTGTGTATCTACCTAGACTTGAAGGCAGTACTAATATATATTATATAACATTGTATAACATAACGTTACTTGTGCATCTCCGTAGACTCATAGGCAGTACTGATATATAACATTGTATAACATAACCTTTTTTGTGTATCTCCGTAGACGGCACTGATACAAAATAGTGTATAAGATAACGTTATTTGTGTATTTGCGTAGACTCAAAAACAGTACTGCTATATCATCATCATCAAGTACCTTGCCTACTGGTGTGGGCGATCATGCCTCTCCACAATCCTCCATCTGCAACTGCGTGTATCAGTTCGGGTGCTGACAACCCTCCACGCCATGACAAATAAGAATCAACTCACGCTCTTTTCCACTGTCTCCCTTTCTACAGATATTTCCAGTTGTCACAACATGTTCCATTTTCCTTCTTCTCATAACATGACCAACAAATGATGACTGTCTCTTTCTAATGTTTGTGATAAGTTGACTTCGAGCACTCGCTTCTTACAAAACACCTGGGTTGCTCTTCTTAGCTGTCCAAGGAACTCTAAGGATTCTTCTATAAAACCACATCTCTGAGACCTCGCGATATTGTTCGTCTAGTTTATTGATCGTCTAATATATAACTGATATAAAACATTGTATAACATAACGTTACTTGTGTATCTCTGTAGACTCATAGGCCGTACTGATGTAGAAAGTCCCAACAGCTGTTGCCAGAGTTAGCAGCAGTCTTTCTCGTTTCGATTCCCTGGCTTCTTTGTCGAATGTATAGTATATAGTCTGTTGCCAAACAAGAAGGGGAAAACTCAAATGAATTTAACTAAAGCTGACACAAATTGCACACTGGCATGTTTCGCTGTATCTCATCAGGTGCATTACTGCAGTTACGTCAGTATATAGTAAATCAAAACAAGCCAGAGAGCCGACATGGTCTAGCGGCTGTACGTTCGCCTGTTGATCGCAAGGTTGTAGGTTTGAGGCTTAACAATAATGTCCTTGCTCCCATGTCGTCCCATCCTTGAGTGGGTACCAGGTACAGTCCTGGGAAGTGAAGGCAGCCTAGTGCAGATTGGTGTATAGAATATAGCTCTAGTGCTATATGTCAAATACACCTGAAAGCGTGAAAAGGGGTACTGTGCTTTTTTTTTAAAAACGAACCAAATTCTTTCATTGAAATAAACAAATCACACTGTCTCTCTCGTTTCATTGTTCACCCTATTGTTTGAAGACAGTGCGCTTAATGAACCAAGTCTAAAATGAATACGAAATAATTTCACGGGAAGTAAAGACGGCCAGTGTGACGTTGAAGCCACATCAACCACCGAGGGTAGATTGGTCTATCAAACTGAGTCCAGCCTTATATACCCGAGACGCCACTGGTGTCACACGAGTCCCTGATCGACTTACTGGTTTGATTTTCCTTATGTTTTCCGAGCAATCCTGAGCTACTCTGAAGGAGACGCCCAAGTGTAGAGGCTAGACGCAAGCCGGCATATCCGAATGTCGTGGGTTCAAATCCGAACGAAGCTGAACTTTTCCCCTTTAAAAATGACTTTGGCTCCAATATCGACCCAGCCACGAATGGGTACGAGGTAAAGTACTGGGAAGTAAAGGCGGTCTTACCATTTCACCCACCGAAGCCAATTATTCTATAAAAATAGGTCTAGCACAATACACCCGATACGTCTGAAGGCGTGGACAAAAGTCCTGTTGCTTTAGTTGCTGTGACTGTTCAATGTATTCACAACATTTAGCCCATAGGCCACATGTGTGCTTTGAATCTCTTGGCAACTCTCAGACCTCGGTGATTTATTAAAATCCTACCCTAGACAGGGAAAATCCACAGGTCACGGGACAGTCTAATATTTGAGCGGGTGGTAGATAGGCTGCATGCAATCGTTGGACCAAGGCTGTATGCAGTCGTGGGACCTAGTCTGCACTCTCTCGTGGGACCTAGTCTGCACTCTCTCGTGGGACCTAGGCTGCACTCTCTCGTGGGACCTAGGTTGCACTCTCTCGTGGGACCTAGGCTGCACTCTCTCGTGGGACCTAGGCTGCAATCTATCGTGGGACCTAAGCTGTACTCTCTCGTGGGACCTAGGCTGCACTTTCTTGTAGGACCTAGGCTGCACTCTCTCGAGGGACCTAGGCTGCACTCTCTCGTGTGACCTAGGCTGATATCTATCGTGGGACCTAGGCTGTACTCTCTCGTGGGACCTAGACTGCACTCTCTCGTAGGACCTAGGCTACACTCTATCGTGGAACCTAGTCTGCACTCTATCGTGGAACCTAGGCTGCACTCTCTCGTGGGACCTAGGCTGCACTCTCTCGTGGGACCTAGGCTGCACACTCTCGTGGGAATTAGGTGGGTTGTGGTTAGGGCCAATTCTAGATGTTTTGGGGTCGTTAAAAAGCATCAGAAAGCCGGCAAGCCCAGTCTTACCACCCTCTAAAATGTTGAACTGTCCTGTGACGTCATCTAGGGTAAACTGTTTATAAAGAACCGAGACCTCAGTATATTTCGTAAACAACACTAAATGAGCTTCGAAACCACATCGAGTCGGATGTTTGTTTTTTTGAAAAATGGCCTTGGCTCCCAGATAAAGTCCTGGCAATTAAAAGCGGTCGGCGTGATGTTGATCACATCACCCACAAAAGACCGATCAGGCTATAAAAATATTCTACTACCTTATGCCCGATGCGCCACTTGCTTACACAAAAATGGTCCTTTACTTTGTTAAACTAGGTGATTTGTATATATCTTACCCCAAAGAGAGGGAAATCCACAGGTCACAGGACAGTCTAATATTTCAGGGGTGATAGATGGGCTGCATGCAGTCGTGGGACCTAGGCTTTATGCGGTCGTGGGACCTAGCCTGTACTCTCTCGTGGGACGTAGGTGGGTTGGGGTTAGGGCCTGTTCTTGATGTTTTAGGGTCGCTGAAAGCATCAGAAAGCCTGGAAACCCAGTCTTACCGTCCTCTAAAATGTTGGACTGTCATGTGACGTAATATGGGAGTAGGATATTTAAAAAAGCACCCTAAACACTGTGAGATGTTTCGACAAACAGCCTACCTTCATTAGTTTAGTAAACTGATACTTGTCTTCGGGTGGACTGCCTCTGGACCCTGGAAACTCCCAATCCATGTCCAGCCCGTCCATCCTAGCAGCTCTTATGTAGGTCACTGCATTCTCTGCAAACTGAGTCATGTTAGCATCCGAACCAACTGCGTTATAGAAGGGTTCGTATCCTGCCACCCAGCCTCCGACAGCTAGTAGTACTTTGAGGGAGGGATTGCGCGTCTTCAGTGCTACCACTTGAGCATACAGACCTGGTTCAGACAAAAGTTATATAAAGTCATTGAAAAACCTGTTTCAAGCCGCAGGCCGTTTTCACACTCGACGGTAAAACCGGTTGACGGAGACGGCACCGGTGCCGGTCTGTGGCTGCAGTGCCATGCGGTAGATATTTTCTGTATGATGCAAGTCATCGAAATGCCGCCCCTGATAGCATCGCTCTGTCAGATCAAAAGTTCAAACTGTATTTGCTTCATATTCTTCGCGTTCACCGGGTGTAAACACCAGCGGAAAGTTCTGGTTATTCTTCCGTCTGTGGACTTTAGTCTTGATCCCAACCTGAGTGTTGAGTTCACATCCATCTTGCAGATCTGACTTATTTTAATGCAAACTATTGGTTCCTTGCCTCTCAGGCAGATGCACTCAGACTTCGGAGGAAGCCCCCAATTAGTTCACTCCACAACATGCTTTTTTTTTGGGTAGGCTGTGGGTCTATTCTTGCTTTCCCCACAATGGGACATTGGAACCATTTTGATTTCGCTGCTTCTGCCCCCTTACGGTGCCACCCGATATGGCCCTCTCTCTGAATCATAGTACGGCGTGGCTCTGAGTGGCTGTACTCACGCCCACACCTGCAAAACCGGAGCCGTTGCCTTTGGCTCTCTTCACGCCGGTATTCTGTCAGTGTAGTTTATTATTGAGTAAGGCTTTTATGTGTGTGGTGAGAGGAAGATGTGTGCTGCACTCAACAAACGTTAGCTTCTTGGTCTCACATCCTAGAATATTACCAGCGAAAAACACCTTCCCTCTCCCCTTCCCCCACCCCAATGAAAAAAAGGCCGCACTGCATAGCGCCAGAACTTGGGGCTCAGGTCACTTGAAACTCTTCCCCCTTTATCCACTTTTGTGTGTAATGGACGTAGAGGTCCACTTATAATATTTATATAAATTCTCTTTAAAAGAATGTGTTTTTTATTTCATGTTGTTCGTCCACCACTTTGTGTCACCGGGTGTTTATCGCTTGTGTGATGTCCTGGTGGGGCACAACTTACATACATACATGATATAGTTCTGTCGCCAAACTATTGAGCTGAGTGCTTGGCGGACACTGGGAGCTATGGATTTCATTTGAAATGACTTTTGACTTTGCTGAATTTAGTTTATGAAGACTGCAGATTCAGAAGTCGGCGTCTGTGGCTTAGGCGTTGCGAGCGATCTTTGTTTGCAGGATGTCCGGTTCGATCCCAGCTGCAGACGATTTTGGATGAGATCGCTTTACATTGTTTGCGAAATTGGTATCAAGTGCTGACAGATGAATGCATTTGAAAACTACTGGAAGAAAACATTGCCTAATGAACTCATAAACACACAAAAGTGTTGGATTTGGTTCTGCAACGTCCTGTAAAGAAAACGCAAGCAACTTTGACTTTTTTAGGCTCATTTAGCCCCCCGGGTCTCCCCCCCCCCCCCCACTCTCTCATCCCGAAAAAAGTGAGAGCTGAGTGCCCTAGTGACCCCCCTTCATGTTTCCTCAGTATCAGCTTGCCTGGCTCCCATCCGTGGTTTACGCCGTGTTATTTAAAACTGGGCTTGAGTACATACAGTATTACTGCAGTGCAACAGGAATCAAGCTCGGCTGCGGGAATTTCTAATCACCTCGTGTCAACACCGACATGCAGGCGTCAAATTCACTAAAACAGTAGGTCGGAGTGATTCACTGCTGTTATGACAACATGAAGATCACATGAAGAGTTCTCAACTTGGATTTCTCCCGTGCGTGATCCGGAGCCCTATTTGACAGTTTTAGTGGGGTCGGGGGGTGGGGGGTGGGGGGGAGACTAGAGACCCCTGGGAAGATACCTTATAGGCATGCCTTGAAAAGTGACTACTAAGACTTTTGTTGAAATTGGAGAGAATTTATTGAAAAATTGGGACAACATGTTCTTCGTACTATCCCTGAAGAAGTCAAAGCGTCAAAGTAAAAAAAAAAAAAAAAAAGTTAAGATCCCTTTTCACGCCTTATGCGCACCGGGTATATGCGAAGATCACCCATATTTTTGCAGACCAATCGGCACTGGATGAGTAATGTGTTCAGAATTACTTCCCCAGGAATTACTGCCGATATATTAAAAACTTTGAGTCTGTGGAGGTTTCTTGATGTTCATCCCCATCTTCTCTCATGAAGCAAAGAATCTAATAGACACTGTTTTGGGTTTTGCCAGGGGCCCTAAATAAAACCGGCCTTAAATATGGCCTAACGTCTAAACGGTGTTTTGGGGACCTCTCCACGGGTGATCCTCGTCCGCATGGTGGCACTTTGCGTCACCCGGTGTTTATCGCTATGTGATGTCCGGTGGGGGTACACCTTACGTTTATACATACAGATAGGTAGACGTATTCAGTAAAAAATAATCGGAATCGTGGGAACACGTTTTTTTTTCCCAAGTCTTTGGAATGGTATGTTAATTTAAAAAATAAAAATTTTAATAAAACAAGCAAGGTCCTACATCAAAGCCATACAAACATCCCTGTTGTCACGAATCTCTCGAGTCTTTGAAACCCCTTACACGGAACCTAGAGAAAAATTTAGTGAATTGATTTCAAAGACAGGAGTATGTGTCCAGGTACAGATTAGTGTCATAGAAAAACAGGGCAACGACAACAAAGTCAGCTTGTTCCATATTCTGGACTCTCTGAAATATGAACTGACAATACGTGAAGAAGTTTGTTTACTGATAGGAAATCTGTTTTTTCTTCTTCAGTGAATTAAAAAAAAAAAAACCATAGCTTCTGATCCACTCAAGAACAAGTGCGAATATCTGATTACTATCTTTCACACACGACCTGAATTATAAGGACCTTTCAAACGAATGTGAGATTCCCAAACCCTACATTGATTTTAACGAAAATTATGACGCTTACTGCACTGTACAGAAAAATAATTTGGGAAAACTTGAAATCTATTTTCCCGAATGTAGAACATGTACTCAAGATGGTAACCAGCTGTACATGAAAGACTGAAACTTATGTTTTCTTTTTTCAAAAATGTTTTTCGTAGCACAATGGGACAGCATTCTCTGAACTAGTTTTTAGTCGCGTGCATGAAAAATGGCTTCAGGAAAACCACTGACTTGAAACCAATAGTTAAGCAACTGTGTGGAAATAAAGGCCGCAAAATTTGTTATAATAAGACGTTTCTAATAATTTCATATTGCGCCTTTTAACCTATAATGATTTCTAACATTAGGTTTGTAGAAGTGCTAGTAAAATAAGCGTATACATATATATATATATATATATATATATATATATATATATATATATATATATATATATATATATATATATATATATATATATATATATATTAGGGCTGTACCGAATATTCGCTTCGTATTCGCTTCGGGGCCGAATAGTGGACCTATTGACTATTCAGTATTCGGCCGAATAGTTGCGGTGGGGCCGAATACGAATAGTAGTTACCTTACATCCCCTTCTGCAGACACAGCCTTAATACTGACAACATGGAACGATTGGTTTTGTTGAAAGCTAATGCAGTTTTCATGCATTAACTAAGCTGTCAGTGACAATTTCTAAGTTTAGTTACTTGTTATAATACGTAGGATTCTTTCATTTCTAGTTATTAGTTACCACAGACTGACTGAAGGATGCAAAACATAAATTTTTTGTAATGCTTATTATTTTGTACAAATAGTAACTAGACATGGAAAGAATATAAACTCCGGCCACATCCAAGTCGATAATATGAAAATCAAACGAACGGAAACATATAAATACTTAGATGAAAACTTAAACTGTTCCAGCATGCTGAGATAAGAAATACAATCTAAAATACAATCTAGAAATAAAGTGTACTATGCCCTTCAACATCTGCTAAAGTCAAAGTGTCGGTCTCGCAACACCAAGATGAAAATATATAAAACGTTGATAATACCAGTCGTTTTATATGGCTCTGAAACTTGAAGCAGAAATAAAAGAGATGAGGCCTTATTACAGGTTTTCGAAAAAAGTCTTACGACAAATCTTTGAACCCATCAGAGATGCTAACAGCGGGGAATGGAGAGTGAGAAGCAACAACGCAACACATAATCTGTTTAAATCACCATTGATCACTGGCATCATGAGAGCTAACAGACTAAAATGGCTGGGGCATATTGAAAGAATGTCAGATGACAGAGAAGTAAAACTGTATTCACCGGAGAGAAGAATAGGCGTAGACCACGAGGCAGACAAAAAAGAACTTCGAGAGATAATGTCCAGCCAGACCTGCAAACAACTAGTGTCACAAATTGTGAAGAGAAGGCCAGCCAGAGAGATGAGTGGAGACGAGTGATATCTGCAACAGTTAACCTCAAGGGCTCAGAATGTTAAAGAAGAAAATGACTATTCTGTGCTACTTTATGTGAAGTAAAAGTTCAGCGTTAGATATATTTTATACACTATTCGTATTTGTATTCGTATTCGGCCGAATAGTTGGTCCCGTTATTCGTATTCGGCCGAATAGTAAAAATCGCTATTCGGTACAGCCCTAATATATAGACTGTCTCCACCTTCATTCTCAAACTAGACGTTGGGATATCATATGCAAGGCTTTGATGCATTAAGCGACGTCCATTCGGCTTTGCTATAAACCCCAATGCACTTCATCTACCCCTCTACACAGAGCCATCTGTATAGATAATCACATCACATGGGCAGGAATTGTCACGAATTATTTGTTGAACTTGTGATTCTGTGCACCAGCTGGCCAGTCTCTGCACTCACAACCTAAAGTGATTAGAACCCAGCACAAGTCTAAAACTTGTCCGGATACCTTGACCCACTCCTCTACTCGCTCAAATTTATCAAACCTGCACACGTGACCAATAGTGTCTACAGCTTGTGTCACTGAAGCCCTTCTTGCTTTCAGTCTGTGACCCTTTACTCTATACAGGGCTTCATGCAGGAGGTGCTTCTTGTCTGCAGCTACTCTGGGATAGGACTTTTCCCTGCAGAACTTTAAACCTATCTGCAATAATAGGCAGTACAAGTATATATCGCATACATACTACCTGGGTATCTCTTGTACATTCCAGAATTTCCCGCATGGCTTCATTCTGTATGCGTTAGTGTTTTTATAGCTGACTCTTTGATATGGTAAGCATTCCAAGTCCATAATCTATCACTGATAGGATCACATAATAGAACATTTTAAACCGCATTCTTTGTTCCATGCCAATGCTGCTATAATCTTGAGAGCATTGAGTCATTTTTCGCATTTCACCACAACTGCCTTCACACAATCCATATAGGACAGGGTTCTATCAAAATTGATACACAGGTACTTTAGTTTTCTTTCTCTTTTGATGTTCCTGTTATTAATTGTGAGGCTTGGAACATAAGCTCTTAAAATTCTATTGTCCAGAGAGCACCAGCTGCCTTTTCTGAGTTGATGACAGCACCCATTTCTGCACACGAGTCAGTCACATTGTCTGCAGTTGCCTGCAGCTCTCGAGCTAGCCGTTGTGGATCACTCCGGTGGCTATATATCAATAACATCATCAGCAAATGTAAGTATCCTTCCAACACCTGGTGCTTGAAGTTCTGAAGTCTTGCTTGTATACACATTAAAGAGCACAGGTGAAATTGCAGATCCCAGTGGTAGTCCTGGTGCATTATTACTTGGTTCTGAGTCCAAGTACCCAGGCGAAGGGCAACCATACGTAAATGCAGGACAGCTGCTATCCAGTTCACAAGCCAGGGACAAACCCTCTTCTCCATGAGTGCTCATATCAAAATATATCTAACTCTATTGAAGGCTTCCTCAAGATCAAGTGCTGCCACACCTTCTCCTGTCTGTTACGGGAGCCCTCATAAACATCAAAAGCAAAAGTAGCTGCATTAGACCGTGTATCTTTCCGTGGCCGGTAACTACCCAAACCTTTAGGCAGCGACGAGGAGTTACGTTATGGAATAATTTGCACTTACCTTGATTGCCAAGATCATTCCAGTTTTGAGGGACGAGCTGGTTATCTTCCACGTTGACAAAGGCGAAGATAATGTGAGTGCACAGTGAGACATCGATGTTACTGGGCATGAACCTCCCTGGGTACTGCCGGTACTGCGACTCGCTTCCATAGTAACAGAACATCTGTTTCTGGCCTGCGGAGAACGCCGCAAAGACCACAATAAACAGTGACGTCACGATCAACCAACCTTGTTGATGTTTTCGCTGGAAATTGAAGATAAACGATTTTTACGATTAGAAAAAAAAGAGTAGAGTTTTAACTTGGTTTTTGAGATGTTTCACTGGCGATTACAGATATTTGATGTTTTAGCTAAACATGTAAATGTATAAGATAACGATCACATTGATTACAGACGGCTGATGATTTAACTGAAGATTACAGTAAATAGATGGTTCAACTAATGATTACAGATGATTATTAAGCTGCAGGTTATTTTAAGCTATGTTATCACAATCCAAGTCATTAAACATCGCACATTTTCACACGCGTGGGTAGTCTTCAAGTGTGAGCTAGTTGCGTGTTTAAGTATGTTCTTTTCTACCAGCGAACTCAGTCTAATTTTATAGTTATAGAGAGATCACTGACACTTGGGCACTGCCTAAAACCATTCAAAAAGATATTTGCAGCTCAAAGCAAAGCACTATGCACTCAACTCAGTAGCTGGGCTAGGGAACTAAATCCCCATACGAACAACACATCCATTCATTGTCATTACCAGAAATCAGAACACCTATCAAGGGAAAATGCATGGAATTGTGGAGAGGACAGACCAACAGTAAACATCCACAAGACCCGACCAGCAGACTCAACATAAAGCACTGTACACCCATTTTCCATCTACGAACAGGACACTGCGGGCTCAACTACCATATGCAAAAAATAAAGACTGTACAGTCCCCACAGTGTGTCTGTCAGACAGGACCACAAACACATGAGTATATTCTGCATACCTACCCACTCTACCTATAACTTTAAAAAGAAGCCTGCCCTTAAGGGCAAAGTGTGCAGAGCAAGTTATGGGGAACCATTACTTAAGGACCTGCTACTGATAGATTAACCACAACCAAACATGACATCTGATATTGACGGATGTATACTGTGAGAGAGGTAGATACGGAGAAGCTAGAATCATGCCAGATCGCCGACACTCCCAGCTGAAATCAGATTACGAGGCTCGCTGATGGGAAAACACCGTACGAGATACAGCGAGCCGACTGACCATAGCGTCGAGACATGCCATGACCACCGTGGGAAGATAGAGGATGAACAGGCGCACGGATGTAAGGAATGTAAGCAATCACCGGGGCTTCCAGAAGAAAAGCGATAACCAGAAACCGCTGAGAGATAGCCAGGCAACGGGTAAACTATGGGGGGGGGGGGGGGGAATGTGGGTGTCAAGCAGTGTTGCCACTTTGGATGTTTTATATCCAGATTTAGATGTTTTTCCTTTAATTTAGATGGCGTTTTTGACGGTCAGATGGTAGATGTCTTTTTAAATGTTTTTATTTGGAGGAAATCTATCAAATCTAACCTAAGAAACAGGATGAAATTTGACCTCTTAAATGCTATCTTGACAATAAAATTCGGCCTAATAACAGTAGGAAAAGGCTGTTCCACATATCAGCTCCCTGATTGGGTATTAAAAGAAACTGGAACAGCTAAAGCATACCAGAGTCATTTTGGATCTGAAGCTTCAACTTCATCATCCAAGCTAAGTTTATCCTGTGGATCTTGTAAGGCAGACTTCAGTAAAGATGAGGACATGATTCTATAGGGTAAGTCATATCAATCGCTATGTAATTTGTGACTCTTTTTATTTGGATGTTTTTCTAGATGTTTTTCCACGCAAATTTAGATGTTGTTAGATATTTTTAAACTCCGTTTTGGATGTTTTTTGTCAAAGAAAAGTGGCAACACTGGTGTCAAGGAGACAGTCGAGGGTACCAAGCAAGATAACTGACGAGAAATTGGAAGGCGGCTGAGAATCACAGGGCGACAGGTGTCAAGAATGACAATGACCAGGCTTTGAAAATAACACACACATGGTTAGGAATACCTATATTAAAACATTTGTATTATTGTTATTGAATGATTGTCGCCATACTAATTTGGACATTGTGTTTTGTAATAAACCAACTTAATTTCATTTGATGTGTTTGTCGATCACTGGCCCTGTCGGTAAACACAAAAAAGACGCTGGAGAACTCTATCTATCATACATGCTCAGTTTAGAGCCACCTGTTGGACCTTGGGTGGGTGCGGAAAGTTAAGACTGTATCATAGTCTGAGCTGAGGATACGAAACCAAACGCAAAGTAAAAGAAGAACAAAAAAATCGCGATACACGAGAAAGGCCATGTATTTAAGAAAGTGTGGGTGGAGAATGTGGGTTATGGAGCTCCGCTGTGGAAAAGGGAGGGGGGGGGGGGGGGGGACAAGAACAGACCATAGCCTCCCCAAGAAGCCTGTCGTATGAGTCAATTAATTGTGACAGACTTCGAAGTAGGAGTACATTTGCCTTAGACGCAAGAGACCAAGGGTCTGCATACAGATGAGCCAGATCTGTGAAACAGATTCGCGCACAACACTTAGGTTCTCGAACAAAACTAAAGTAATGAAATGGACGAACACCCAGAACTTTCCGCCGGAGTTTCCAGCCCGTGAATGTGAAGGAAAGGAAGAGGACTTAAAAAGACATTCACATATCTAATAAACTCGATATATACAACAGCATGAAATCATCCGTGTAGAATGTCTTGTCTTAGCCACTTACCTTGGTCTCCATCTCCTTGCTCAAGTTAGGTATCGTTTGACTCACCTGCAGGCACCACGCTATCTTATTTCTACTTAGTGTAAACAAGGAAGTCAAACAGACTATCGCCCTACAAAATACATTTCGTTTAACGAAATAGTTTGCGTATCACACATACCCTCGAACCCACATCTAGCTATACGTTAATTTTAATTCGCGCGCACGCGCCAGAGAGAGAGAGAGAGAGAGAGAGAGAGAGAGAGAGAGAGAGAGAGAGAGAGAGAGAGAGAGAGAGAGTCAAGGAAAGATGTATCGACATAAATGCAGAGGGTTCTATCCTACATGGCGCAGCCGCTTGCACAAAACGGCTGATTTCTGTAAACACTGTACTAATGAATCAAACCATGCAGTTCCGGGAAACAAGCCCAGGGCCTTCAGAGTTTGAGTCAAACGCTTGACTGCTTCGCCAGGGAGAACCCTCACGTGTTAGTTTATATGTGCATTCACCAAAGGCTGATGAGCTTTATTTAAAGCCAGTAAAGGGAAACTAATTAGAAAGCAAAAACTAGAACTGCCACAAGGGAAACCAAAATGCCGAAGAGAGATAAAGAAAGATACAAACAGAAGATTGGTGAGTCTTTTGTCACGAATGGTGGCAGCACAGAAACTAACACGCGCTGACGGAGATTGTTCGATGTCTAGAAACATGATCGCCCATGCCCGCTAGTAAACCACTTCTTGATGGTGATCATCGATTGCAGGTAAGCAGAAAAAAAAAAAAAAGGAAGTGGACCCAGGCTTTCAGTTCGACTTAGGTAAGACCTGTATCTTAAATTTGTCTGAGATATAAAGACAGCCGACTTCATTGTGACCGTGTCACTCACTGATTGCCCATTAAACTGAAAATAAATGAAATAATTAAATTTTTTGGCTATCCTCCGAATAACGGGCACAAAAGATGGCGGCCAATGTCGGCCAAAAACAGGCCTTAGTGACGTGTCAATTGCGCATTTCCAGCGACTCAATTTGCGGTTTTCCGGCGACTACCGCCACCGCCAAGAGTTCCCACGCCACTCACGCGGCATGGATTGGGGTTACACTAGATGGCTGGGACTCATGAGCAAAGCTGAAGGAGATGCGGAAGCTGCTGCACGTGAGTCGCCATCTTTTGTGCCGGTTATTCAGAGGTTAGCCCATTTTTTCTTCCCCTTCTTCCTCTTTTTCTACTTCTTTTCCCCCTCATTTTCCTCCACCCCTTCTCTCTCTCCCCCCCCCCCCCCCCCCACCCCGCTCATCGTCATCCTTATACTTATCATTTTCTTTTTTTTCGTTTTCTTGAGAATAAAATGTTGATACCCGCAAGGCTATGTTTGATTAATTTCCAGTGTTTTTGACAGTTCAATCTTCAACAAGTTTCATTTACTCGTACTGATGTAGACAACGATACAGGTAGGAGGACAACTCAAGGGATGGACATACAGTAGTCTGAGAGAGTGTACAACCAAGACAAGAGGCAATGCCTCTTGTAGATCCATTGTGGAGACGGCAACTGACTGATTCAGGGCAGTCTTGGGGTACGTCTTCTACATACTGAATCACCAGTCCAAATGGGCCCTTGGCTGAGTTTCTAATTAAAAATGAAGCGTTCAGCCCCATGCAATTTACATCATCATCATCATGTGCCCTGCCAACTGTCATAGGCGCGCATGCGTCTCCACAGATCCCGGTCCCTGGTTGCCTGGAACAGCTCTCTTGATGATATCCCTCCATGTCATCGTTTCAGCTCATCCAGCATCATCTCTCTTGGTCTGCCTCTACCCCTTTTCCCCCTGATATTTTCAGTTGTCACGATGTTCTCGATTGTCTCTCTTTTTATTATGTGGCCAAAGAACAGTGTTTGTCTATTTTTTTTTTTTGTATTTAGAGATTTAATTTCAGCAGCTTCTTTCAAGCAATTGTTGTTAGTTACTCTGACCGTCCAAGGTATTTGTAACATTCATCTCAGAAACCACATCACTGTTGCTTCAAAATTCTTCCTAATTTATTCACAGCCATACAGCAGAACTGGTTTTAAATACAATTTCTGTTTCTGACATTACATGAGAGAGGTTTATTGCATACGATATTTTTTAATTTCTGAAATTTTCATAGCGGCAATAATAGATGAACTGTAGTATCCCTTTCTTCTTCGTCAAAAAATATGCACTTCAACTGAAGTAATGACTGTTCTTGCTTAACAGCCTGCGCGACTTCTCTTAACCTGTCAACTCACAATGCACAACAGCTGTCAGGTGCCTGCCAGGTGGGCGGGACGGTCACAGGAAGTGCCAGATTTATGGCTTGCAAGATGTATAAATTGGACCCACACCAGGCCACATTGTGTCACTTTGCAGTGGACCCGCGGAACCTCTTCAAGCTTGCTGGTTCATTTCGGCAAGGTGGGAGGTACAGGGTAGCTAGCTGCTCGCTCGAATAAACTGTTGTTGTCACAACATCAGACCTATCTGCTCAATCGTACAGAAAAGAGTGTTGTCATTCTACTTCAGCATCAGTGCATGAGAGATATCTTTCGAGTAGACAGAATCCACGACACGAGCCCAGAGCTGGCAGAAATCTGAAGATGAAGCTCAATATGTTCTTGAATGGGGCATTGCTCTTTTTCATTCATCTGACGTCTGGTGTCAGTACTGTTGTGGAGCCTGGTGTGGGTCACACTGAGGAAGAGAAAGCTTGCCGCGAACTCAGGTAAAGTCGCTTTCTCTCTTTGTCAATATTTTGATATTTCTTCTTCTTCTTCTTCTTCTTCTTCTTCTTCTTCTTCTTCTTCTTCTTCTTCTTCTTCTTCTTCTTCTTCTTCTTCTTCTTCTTCGTCTTCTTCTTTTTCTTCTTTTTCTCTTCTTCTTCTTCTTCTTCTTCTTCTTCTTCTTCTTCTTCTTCTTCTTCTTCTTCTTCTTCTTCTTCTTCTTCTTCTTCTTCTTCTTCTTCTTCTTCTTCTTCTTCTTCTTCTTCTTCGTCTTCTTCGTCTTCTTCTTCTTCTTCTTCTTCTTCTTCTTCTTCTTCTTCTTCTTCTTCTTCTTCTTCTTCTTCTTCTTCTTCTTCTTCTTCTTCTTCTTCTTCTTCTTCTTCTTCATCTTCTTCTTCTTCTTCTTCTTCTTCTTCTTCTTCTTCTTCTTCTTCTTCTTCTTCTTCTTCTTCTTCTTCTTCTTCTTCTTCTTCTTTTCTCCTCCTCCTCCTCCTTCTTCTTCTTCTTCTTCTTCTTCTTCTTCTTCTTCTTGGGGTCTAAGTAGCGAAGTAATCAAGCCGTTTGCCTCGCGCTCTGAAGGTCGTGGGTTCGTTTCACGGCGGCCCCGTTCAGTTTACGAATGCAAGTATTTGAGAGATACCTGGGGATCGTCACTGGAGCTGCAAAGGTCGTGATCTGTGCGACGCTTTCAGACGGCAGCTAGCTGTTTTGCGGAGAGAGACTAAACCATATGGGACAAAACCCGGTGCAAAGAAATAGATCCTCTCACCTTCTTCTTGTTTTTCTTCTCCTCCTCCTCCTCCTCCTCCTCCTCCTCCTCCTCCTCCTTCTACTTCTTCTTTTTCTTCTTCTTCTTCTTCTTCTTCTTCTTCTTCTTCTTTTTCTTCTTCTTCTTCTTCTTCTTCTTCTTCTTCTTCTTCTTCTTCTTCTTCTTCTTCTTCTTCTTCTTCTTCTTCTTCTTCTTCTTTTTCTTCATCTTCTTCTTTTACTTCTTCTTGCTCTTCTTGTTCTTTTTGTTCTGCTTGTTCTTCTTCTTCTTCCTCTTTTTCTTTTTTTTCTCTTCTTCTTCTTCTTCTTCTTCTTCTTCTTCTTCTTCTTCTTCTTCTTCTTCTTCTTCTTCTTCTTCTTCTTCTTCTTCTTCTTCTTCTTCTTCTTCTTCTTCTTCTTCTTCTTCTTCTTTTTCTTTTTCTTCTTTTTCTTTTCTCTTCCTTCTTCTTCTTCTTCTTCTTCTTCTTGGGGTCTAAGTAGCGAAGTAATCAAGCCGTTTGCCTCGCGCTCTGAAGGTCGTGGGTTCGTTTTCTATGAATAAAAGTTATACAGAAATGAAAAAGGCTACTTGAGAAATCTACGACTGTACGCGAATTCGTTAGTAAATTGCAGCGGCTCAGTAGGGAACAGGGAATGCTTTGCAAGTAAAGATCCCTTTCACGCCATTAGGCACATCGGGTTTATAGGAAGAGCACCCATATTTTAATGGGCTAATCGGCCCTATGTGGGTAATATGGTCAGCATTACGCCGGCCGTCTTTACTTCCTCGTGACATACTTAAAAAGAAATACTAGCATGATAATATACGTATCGTAAGAGGCAAAAATGGCTATCTTAGTGCTCTTTCGGCTCCTAAAGCAACGTTTTTCTTTTAGTAAACTACGAAGAAAACTGTTTGCCCACATGAAAAAGGTACAATCTACATTTGTTTAGTCATATGGTGAGAAGGAGAAAACTGGAGTGCACCGTGACAGTATGAAAGCTGGAGCAGAGGAGAGGCAGAGGGACATCGAGAGAAAGGATGTTGGACAGTGTGACGTCAGGGCAAGGAGGCTCACCTGTGTCAGAGTTGACTGAAATTACACGAGACAGAGGGTAGTGGGAATATATGACTACCAGTGCCACACGGCATGGAATTTAAGAAGGTTAGTTAGTTGCGTATCCTTTACAGGACGTTGCAGAACCAACCCCAACAGCCCGTGGCTGTTGTGTGGTCTCTCTAGGCAAATTTACGTCCAGCAATTTACTTTACGAAGAAGAAACCGATCTAAGACAGGACAGTTAAGGATGCCACAAGCAGAAAATTACAATGGAAATACGCTACAGTCGGGCAAACACACAGCAGTATCCCACAACAGCAATTTCACGCATGCCACCACCCTTAGGGAGGACAATGTAAAGTGCTGTAAAATAATGGCTACTCAGAAATGTTGGCATTGTACAGGTACTTTTCATTTTTTCCAGGCGGTAGTTTTCCATTTGCTTTTTAGAAAGCAATGGCAAACTAATGGACGTAAATTTGCCTAGAAAATCCACACAACAGCCAGGTGCTGTTGGGGTTGGTTCTGCAACGTCCTGTAAAGGATGCGCAACTAACCTTTCATTTGTGCAGCGGTTGTGTCGTGGTATTTAAAATAGCCAGTAGCCGGTTCACGTGTGGAATGGTGAAATGCCTTATGTAATACTTCTACGTGTGTATGGCCAACTTATCATGGCCGACGACTTCCATAAACGACAAACTGCATTTCTGGTGCCAACTGTGGGCTTCAGCGCCTCAAGTAACTGCCATATACATTTACTGCGCAAGCATATTTCTAGAATGTTCCAGTTTTTCAAACGAGACATTGAGGGACATTTCATTTGATTTGAACTGGCACAGAAACGGAGCAAGTCTGGGGAAACCGATTGCAGTGCAGTTGAAACCTAGACTAAGACTAAGACTGAGAATTCCATTTTTTAGGGTGGCAATGGAAATACAGCCCATGGTTAGGGATATAGTTTCACCCTTCCTCCCCTTCCATAGCACAAATTGTGGGTAGTAGATACCAGGTATTGCCCATACAGCATTATCCCACTCCTCAATCTGCTTTGCTAACTCGTTGTTCCAGCTGTTATTTCTTTAACTCCTTATATCCAATGGTTTTGAGACTAAAAGCAATACATATTTAAGTCTGTAGGGATTCAGCAAAGACACTTTGTAGAAGACGTGGTTAAACTAGTAAGTCGATTACAAGTGGTTAACATAACTTGTGTCTGCATAGAAGACGGCAAGTCGGCAATATTATATTTAGAACAATGAGAAACCCATGGTGGGTCGTTTGGCGATGTAAAAGACAAATGCAAGGGACAGGGAAAACCAATAAGTTTGAAACAAACGTGCACTGTCGGCCAGCCTGTCGAAGCTTAGTCAGAAATAGAGACACTGGACAGCCATAAAGAACAACCAAGAGGAAAGAGGTGGGCAGCCCGAAGACAACATGTCACAGACATCAGAAGAAGACAGTCATCATTTTCCGGCCATGTTATGAGAAGAGGGAAAATGGAACATGTTGTGACCACTGGAAAGATCTGTGCAAGGAGGGATAGAGGAAGGCAACGAGAGAAGATGCTTGGCGGTCTTGTTGCATGGCATGGAGGTGTGTCAGCATACGAACTGATACATGCTGCAGGAGATCGCAGACTGTGGAGATTCATGATAGCCCACGCCAGTCGGCAAGGCACCTGCCTGATGATGATGAACACTGATGGCTCTGTACTTCGTGGTGATACATCTTACTGTTGTTTCTCAGAAGGAGTTAGGGGAAGAGTCGTCGCAGAGCAAAGCTGAGTTTACTCTTTTCTTCTGCTGCCTTTCTAACCTCCAATGCAGCGTAGGCCCTCAACTAACTCACGTCAAGTCGTTTTATCATTGGCTATCGCATGCAGCTCTCCTCGTGTCCTCTCCCATTTTTTTAACGTCACTCTCTAGCTCCCTTCTCCATGTGTTTTGATCTTCTTTATTTATATGCCCCTGTGGGTTCCAACTAGAGTTTGACTGATTTACAATTTCAACAATGAGATTAGAGATGGAGGCAGTCATCGCTGCTTTGAGGTAGATTACGAGGTCTTCTCTTCTTCTCTTCTTCACTTCCTCTTTTACCGCTGTGGGTGTCGATGGAGACATAAGGTTCTGTTTCTAGCTCTTCTGGCTGCCTCGACCATAGGCACATCGTGCTGTTGTAGAGTTTCTCTGATGTTATCCTTCCATCTTGTTCTTGGTCTACCCCGTGCTCTACGTCCTTCTTCTCTTTCCAAGTATGCTTTGTATGGTATGGTGTCACAAGGCATTCTCTCTAAGTGGGCAAACCATTTCACTTGCTGTCTTTGTATGTAATCCAGAATTGGTTCTGTGCCGACTTGTTCTCTTATGATCTCATTCCTGATCTTATCTCTTATGGTCACTCCTACAGCCCTTCTCAGACATCTCATTTCCGTGGTTACTAATTTTCTTTTATGGTTTGTTGTGAGTGACCATGTCTGGCACTGGTAGCACAGAGTTGGAATAAATATGCTTTGAATAAGATGTCTCTTTGTGCTGATTGGGATTGTCTTATGCTGTAAGAGGGAGCTAGCTGTTCCAATACTTGGTTTGCTTTACTGCATCTAATGTCAATTTCTTTATCCAATTTCCCATCTTCGGTAAATGTAGTTTCCAGATATTTAAACTCAGATGCCTGTTCAATGCCTTTGTATTCTATTGCTATGTTTAGATCTGTCTTCTTTTTTCCAATTGACATTACTTCTGTCTTTTCAGTGTTGATTCTCATATTATTTGTTTTACATTCTTCATGCATGGATGTTAGATGTTGTTGCAATTTCATGGCTGTATCTGCTATCAAGGCCTGGTCATCTGCAAAGAGTAATTCGTTGATCTTACTAAGATCTTCATTCATGGGCTTGGCATTCTTGCATATACTCTCGATGTAGGTGATAAACATCAGTGGTGATAAGACACACCCCTGTCTTACTCCAGATGTCACTGTGAAAGGATGAGATGTTCCCTGATTTATTCTAACTACACTTCTACAATCCCTGTATAAACTTTTGCACACTTCGATGAGGTGTTCGCTTTCTCCATATCTTGCTATTATTTTCCATAATAATTGTCTGGCAATAAGCAAGATTGTAACAATTACAGAGGCATCTCCCTTCTAAGCCACGTAGGAAAAATGTTTGCCAAAATTCTGGAACAACGAATTAGATCCGTTGTAGAAAACCGATCCCCCTGAGCCCATCACAGGTCGGTTTAAAGAAAGAGGGTGTAAACTGACGCTATTTTTGCTCTAAGACAAGTTAGCGAAAGACAATAGAACACAGACATCAAATGAACATCGCTTTCATAGATCAAGAAAAAGCTTTCGATAGAGTAAACAGAAGATTTTATTATGGAAAGTTCTTGAAAAACTACAGTATAAATGGAACAATTTTAGATTGTGTTAGGGCTATTTATAGACAAAGTGAAGCGCCATTAGAACAAGAGCTGGCATCACAGACTGGTTCCCAGTAACATCAGGAGTAAGACAAGGTTGTGTATTATCACCTTTACTTTTCATAATATTTATGGACAATATTAATACAATAGACATAACACCAACAGATGTCGATAAACAGTAGAGACTTCAATGAGCTGCTCTTTGCCGACGATCAATGCATATTTCACAGTGATAGTAAACAGCTGCAAGACCACATAAACCTACTACACGACAGTTGCCTCAAGCATCATATGAAGATCAATACTGAAAAGACAGAAGTCATGAGCATAAGTAGAGAGCAACAGACCATCGACATAAAGATTCTAGATCACAGCCTAAAACAAGTGCAAGAATTTAATACTTGGGAAGTATCTTTACATCCAATGGTAAAATAGACAGAGAGATCGAAGCAAGAATATAACAAGCCAACAATGTCGCATACCAGCTTGCCCCAATTTTAAAAACACCCTGCTGTCCCAGCTGAGATAAAAAGACAAATTATAAATACAATCTTTATACCGACATTAGGTTATCAATGTCAGACTTGGACATTAACAAAAGAACACGAGAGAAGACTAACCACTGTGAAATGAGATGTTTGAGATGGCTGCGAATAAAACCAGAAGAGATCGAGTGAGAAACGATGTGATTACAAGAACTATTGGAAACCATACCCATCGTTAAATTTATGAGAGGAAAAGAATGAAATGGGTTGGTCACCTAATGAGAATGGAACCAACGATGCCAGCATCAAGAGCATACAACATGAAAATCGAAACACCAAGAGGCAGGGGAAGACCAAGAAGAAGATGGATTGAAGGAGTCACGGACAACTTGAGACTTCATAACATCACGGCATATGAAGCTACTGAGCGCGCCCTGGCTCGGTTGCCGATCATCTGATAGACTGCGACGCCTAGCGGCACAAGCAGATTTTGACAAAAGAAGAAAGAAGATTGTCTGTCGACTCTGTGATTACGAGGTACTAAGTTTAAAATGGATAGTGTTTCGGGGCAATTTTGTTTTTGTTTTCACAAAAGCGACCTTTGAATCAGTCTGAAGACTAGACGTGACTGAAGACTGGTGGATGACAAATTATCAGACGAACCATGAATTAAGAGTAATGAAGGTTTTTTTAGAGTTAAACTTCGACCCAACAAAAAAGGACCTGTGAGAGGAAGAGTGTACAGCCAGTGTGCTACTGGAACGATCAGCATTGACAATTTACTCATGGGAGACAGATAGATATGATCTCTGTCTACAATGTTCATTCTTAAATGAGTAAAGCAACGGTTACTGACCTTCCTTGCAGTTTTCAAGGTCTAAACATCCGTTTTGTTGGCACACGCAACTTCAGCAATATGCCGAGTCAGTTAAAAACCGTGTAGGTATCTGTTTAAGGTTACTGACTTATTCTGCTGGGTTACACATTCGCGGAGGCGCGTTGTGCTAGATTTTGAGGATTAAACATTTTTTATTTATGTCAACCAGCAAGCGTGATAGACTTGCCAACTTACTTTTATTCCGTTTTAACTCTTTTAGATTCCGATAGTGGTTCTTTTATTGTTCTTCTGCGCCCACCCTTAAAAGAGGTGTCGGTTGGTTGTGTTGTGTTACAGCTAGGCTGTGATATCTGCACTTTTCGGCCCCAAACATCCGATCTTACCAAAACTTTTCAAGTCGCTTTTTCACGATGTGCAAGGAAAGATTTAAAACCGAACGAAAAGTTTATCAGCGAGCTTCAAAATATGCGCATTAGGGATCCTTGGGTCAAGAGTGGGGTTGGAGGTGGAGGCAGTCACGGCATCTTTGAAGTAGATGCTGAGATATCAAGTTACGAACAACAGTGTATGATTCTCAGTTTGCACTTCACGCAGTTTAAAATAAACAGGCGTTTCGAGGCAATTTTGTTGTTGTTTCAAAAGCAACCTATCGACACCATCAGAAGACAACACACAACGTAGATTTGTGGATGATAAAATTTCAAGTGAAATATGTGTAAGGTTCTCTCTCCACCACCCCCCCACCCCTACACCCCCCCTACCCCCCCCCCCACATTCTTTCTTTCAGATTTTACCTGACGAAATTCGTTACATCAAACTAATACATTTTCCAGACCTTTGCCTGTCAGCATTGAAGCTTTGCGTTCGAATCCCCAGAGCGACGCACTGTTGATCTTATTTCTTTAACACTGTTCTTCCTTCCGTCTTTTCATCTTCTGCGTGGTCTTCCCATTGCCTCGTGTCATTATATTTCGTTAGCTTGACTCTTTGTTCCCCGGTTACCAGGACTTTCTCATCAGATTGCCAGATCATCCCAGGAGTTGTTATTTAATGATTTGTTGGACAGGTTACATCCTAGTCTTCAGGTTTTTGTATGTTAATTGTTCTTATTGCTCCATCAGTTCTCAGAAGACATCTTATCTAGGTTGGTATGGTGTTGCTTTCATTAGTTCTAGTATTAGTCCGTGTTTAACACTGGTGGCCTACATTTGGCCAAAAAATAGTTATTATTAGATTCGCCTTGTTAAACAAGATATCATTCTACGTGTCAAACGTCAACGTTAAGCACGAATAAACCCAACCTAAGCTTCCTAAATGATATAGTTTATTTCACATACAACCTTGCAGACATCTTTCTGTCTAATAGACATGTTCTAATTTGCTCCCCAAACTTTACATGGTCTGCCTGTTAATCTTGACGTGAGACGTCATATCTATGGCTTGTGTACGTCATCAGCGGAGCAGCTCCATAACTCTGCCATTGACGTCACAGTATCGTCACGTGTTGAGGGCTCCTGGCATATTTGCTAACATTCCCTACTTAGTAGATGTGACAGTTAGCCACTAACACAGACACTTTTCTGTGTCGGATAACTTAACTCCTGATACAGATGTAAATGAAAAAACGATTCTCCTGTTCCTTGAAATTCTTAGTTTAATCATCTGTCATCTCTGTCAGTAGTCCTCATTTAGCTAAGAGCTGATGGTTCCTTTATTTTGCTAGTTATCCTGAGTACCTTATTATAACTTATAAATATTAGAATAACAAAACTGACTGGATTTTAACCTTTGTGTGTGTGTGTGTGTGTGTGTGTGTGTGTGTGTGTGTGTGTGTGTGTGTGTGTGTGTGTGTGTATGTAAATGTTATGTTATTTCATGTTATCACAATCGGTGTCTCTGTACACTAGACATGTCCATGCTAACTCAGTCCTCCGATGCAGCAGCCAAATGCATGACTGTCGTTTTCTACTTTGTGTTTCTATGAGCCTGGTTTATACATGCCACATGACAGCCTCATTATACAGGACACATGACAATCTCATTATACAGCCACATGAAAACCCCATTATAAGGACAAATGACAATTTTATTATACAGAACACATTACAACCTCATTATACAGGAGACATGACAGCCTCATTATACAGGACAAATGACAACTTCATTATACAGACACATGATACAGCGCACATCATGAAGGCCTTACAAGACATATCACTCTTCAGATAGCGCAGTTTAGTTACCAGAACTTGATAGGACTGTCATTTTTGTTTTCTTTTTCTAATTTTTTGTCTCTGACAGAATAAATAATCCCGGTGATTCGTGCCCGGGTCTCCAAAATAGGAACTAAAAAAGTATCAACCGCTTAGCCAGCCACTGCTTCTTCTTCTTCTTTTTCTTTTTCTTCTTCTTCATCTTCTTCTTCTTCTTCTACTTCTTCTTCTTCTTCTTCTTCTTCTACTTCTTTTCTTTATTAGCCCTGAAAAGTTTTCTTGGCACATAGTAGTTTGGTTTACTGCAAGGCGGCGATATCTGCACGTTTTGGCCCAACACGTCTGATTTCAGCAAATTCTTAGTCGCCTTTTGCGACATGCTCCTTAAGAAGTAGTAGATTTATATTTTGACAACCTCTTTATGTACTTCAGATATAAACCGATTCCTTTCCTGCAAATTTTCCGGCTCCTTAAATAAAAAAGGCCCGAAAACCTCTTCTACGTTCATGTTTAATTATACCATATCTCAAAATATCGTTTTAGAGAAAACTGTGACATGC